TTGGAATTTAACCACTCTAGAAATGATTAAATACCATAACAAGTACAGAGATGCAAATGCTAATTTGCAACTGTCTGGTATAATAAAGAACCCTAAGCCTAAAATAATAAAGTCCATCCTCACTGATGCTCCTGCAGGTGGTGAATCCAAAAGAGCCCTGGGGCCGTATTCCTAAAGATTCTTAGTGCTAAAAGTTGCTCCTATAGTGGCCAAAATCTAAGAATTTTCCTAGAATCTTGACCGACCCTAAGAATTTCCCCTAAAAGTGAGGAGTAGCTCCTAGTTAAGAAAAAAGCTATTCCTAAAGAATCCTAGCTCTTAAGAGTGCTCCTAAGGTGAGATCTCTTAAGAGTTGAGAGGAGGACTTTTAGCGACTTAAAAGTTCTCTGAGAGGACAAAATGGTGGACGGTGGAGGAGAAATATTCTATTCACTGGATTACAGTGAATCAGTAAAACGCTGCAGATTGGATAGTGCAGGAATCATGTTTGTGGTATATTTAAAAGTCAATCATGTAAAAGTCATCAAGTACAAGTTACAATCCAGTTCAAAAAGGAGTGTAAAGAAGTTAAGCAATATTATTCTGCCTCCTTGCGCTAATACTTTGTAGCGCCACCTTTTGCTGCAATTACAGCTGCAAGTCGCTTGGGGTATGTCCCTATCAGTTTTGCAAATCGAGAGACTGGAATTCTTGCCCATTCTTCCTTGCAAAACAGCTCGAGCTCAGTGAGGTTGGATGGAGAGCGTTTGTGAACAGCAGTCTTCAGCTCTTTCCACAGATTCTCGATTGGATTCAGGTCTGGACTTTGACTTGGCCATTCTAACACCTGGATACGTCTATTTGTGAACCATTCCATTGTAGATTTGGCTTTATGTTTTGGATCATTGTCCTGTTGGAAGATAAATCTCCGTCCCAGTCTCAGGTCTTTTGCAGACTCCAACAGGTTTTCTTCCAGAATAGGCCTGTATTTGGCTCCATCCATCTTCCCATCAATTTTAGCCATCTTCCCTGTCCCTGCTGAAGAAAAGCAGGCCCAAAGCATGATGCTGCCACCACCATGTTTGACAGTGGGGATGGTGTGTTCAGGGTGATGAGCTGTGTTGCTTTTACGCCAAACATATCGTTTTGGATTGTGGCCATAAAGTTCGATTTTGGTTTCATCTGACCAGAGCACCTTCTTCCACATGTTTGGTGTGTCTCCCAGGTGGCTTGTGGCAAACTTTAAACGAGACTTTTTATGGATATCTTTGAGAAATGGCTTTCTTCTTGCCACTCTTCCATAAAGGCCAGATTTGTGCAGTGCACGACTGATTGTTGTCCTATGGACAGACTGTCCCACCTCAGCTGTAGTTATCTGCAGTTCATCCAGAGTGATCATGAGCCTCTTGTCTGCATCTCTGATCAGTCTTCTCCTTGTTTGAGATTAAAGTTTGGAGGGACGGCCGGGTCTTGGTAGATTTGCAGTGGTCTGATACTCCTTCCATTTCAATATAATTGCTTGCACAATGCTCTTTGAGATGTTTAAAGCTTGGGAAATCTTTTTGTATCCAAATCCGGCTTTAAACTTCTCCACAACAGTATATCGGACCTATGGTGTGTTCCTTTGTCTTCATGGTTCTCTCTGCGCTTTAAACAGAACCCTGAGACTATCAAAGAACAGGTGCATTTATACGGAGACTTGATTACACACAGGTGCATTCTATTTATCATCATCAGTCATTTAGGACAACATTGGATCATTCAAAGATGCTCACTGAACTTCTGGACTGAGTTTGCCGCACTGAAAGTAAAGGGGCTGAATAATATTGCACGCCCCACTTTTCAGTTTTTTATTTGTTAAAAAAGTTTAAATTATCCAATAAATTTCGTTCCCTTTCACGATTGTGTCCCACTTGTTGTTGATTCATAAAAAAAAATGAAAATTTCATATCTTTATGTTTGAAGCCTGAAATGTGGTGAAATGTTGAAAGGTTCAAGGGGGCCGAATACTTTCGCAGGGCACTGTATTTCAGTATATTTTTTTTACTTGTCCCTGATTCAACAAAAAGTTCCCAAAATTTAGAAACACTCAACAATTGTACCAGTTGCCAAAACTAAGACCACAAAATCTTTGAACGATTTCCGGCCTGTTGCATTGACCTCGTTGATAATGAAAAACCTCGAAAAAATAATTAAAGAGGCCATTCTTCTGCAAGTTGAGGATAAGTTAGACCCTCTGCAATTCGCATATAGGTCAGGGAGAAGTGTTGATGACACCGTGATCACACTAATGCACTTTATTTCTTGCCATTTGGATAAAGTAAAGACTCATGCCAGGCTTTTTAAAAATCGACGCAAGCTCCTTCCCCTTCCTTTCTGATTGGTCTACGCCAACGTTTCCGTAACACTTTTAAATGTTAATCAGAGAACACATTATACATATACATTATTAATACAGATGCACGGAGGTTTTCAGAATTATTTGTTAACGTTTTAATTAAAAAAATAATGTTTTTTTCTGCACAAAAAAAGCGATTGCGGCTAACCCGAAACAAGCTATTATCATGAATTGCACATTATAGGACACATCTGCAGAGGATCTGATTATGGATATAGGTTCAGTATATAAATGGGTACCTCAGCGCGGATTTTCAGAATTCTTTGTTCAGTTTTCATAAAGTTCCAGAGCCTATAAAGGCTCAATTCGGAGGTTCCGTGAAAACAAACAACTGAGCATGCGCGCAGCTACGAGCATCAGCGCCGATGATTGACAGCCCTTGACATGACTCGATTGGTTAACGTGGACGGCATCATGGATTCTGAGCTATACCTAAGAGAAGGGAAGGCGGGACTTACCTGTAATATTAGAATTAATAAAATGACTTATTTTATATCAACATTTAAGGCCAGGAGGTCAATTTAACACAATTCCTAAAATGTGTAATTAATTTAGAAATACAGACTATCACTTTAACATGGTGCAATGGCACATAGGTCTTGGGTTGGATTCCCTGGCTTGGGAATTTCTGCATGGAGTTTGCATGTTAATGCTATTCTACATGCTTTAGACACTAAAAGCATTGTATCAAGGATTCATGTTCACTCACTCATGCACCAGTGTATGGCAACACTGGAAGGTGGTCAAGCACAGTACAGCAGTGCACCTGCAGGATTCGAACCATTTCAATAATGGTGAGTTCCAGACAACTTTTAACTGGTAACTCTGAGGTTGTAAGTCATAATTTTCAAGTGGGAAGATGGGAAGAACACCAGTTACCGGTTGCCTGGAACACACTAAACATAATCAGAGTCAGTCGTGAGGTGACTTAAAATAATTTCCAGTTATTGAATTAGAAAAGTAAATGTATTTTTATGTGTTCAACTGTGAGGGAAATGTTTTCTATGCAGTTTTAAGTTATGTTTTAATTGTATGGGGTTGCAGATGTTTTGTTGGCCTGAATCCCACCGTAGGAACCAAGACACATTGCTAACCTGAAAATGCGGAAAGTGATAGAGAAGAGGAACAATGCTGTCCACTCTCTTGTTTCTGCTGAATAAGTTAATGGACATTGAATGGCTGCAAACCAAATGACCAAACAGCAGACAATTTTCTTGTTGAATGTTGAAAATAATATAGATAATCGTAAAGTCAATTTAGAGTTCATTACTGGCAAAAAAAAATACCTGTTAAAAATCGTAAATTAGGATTACAATACTATATTGTAAATGTTTTAAACAGTTAATTGCTGTTTTTAAAAAAATACTATGAATAACTGTAAAAATACATTACACCTGAAACCTGTAAATCAGATCCGGTAAATTATTGAAAATTATTTTACAATAACAAACTTTAAATTGTACAATACATTGCTGGAAAAATAATTACCATTTATATACTGTAAATTCTACAGTTTATTCGTTACAGTGTGAATATACAGGGTTCTGTCCATATACTGTATTGTTCTGTCATATGTTAGTGCATATACAGGCTTCTATCATATATTAGTGTATATACAGTGCTCTTTCATTTATTGGTGTATAGATAATATATATATACAGTGTTCTGAAATATATTAGTGTATATACTGTATATGGTTCTACCATAGTGTTTATACAGGCTTCTATCTTATATTTGTGTATATAAAGGGTTCGATCATATATTATTGTATAACTGTTCAGTGTCACTGTTGCATAATTTTCCATGAGTTTCACCTAAAAGTCAAATGTCCGTAATCACATATTCATATATCAGAATATTTTATCACTGTTAAACCCGCTATGAATAATAATATACGCCAAACCATGTATCCTGTATGATAGCTACATGTGTGAAGTTTACAGTAATGAAAAAAGTGTGAAAATTGGTATAGTATTCAGTGAGTTATGATTGATTAAATGCGCTGACACGTCACTGCGCCTGTTAAACGTTACCCTGAGAGGAGCGGGCGACCGGTCCAAGATGGCGGCGCCACGGCTCGTCAGCACCAATAGACCGTAGTGATCTATTCTTTATTATGTGCGCAGGCTGCATCCATATGTATTTACATCTGTCTTTATCATTCCTAATGCTGAATAAATTACCCTTTATGGCAAACTGTAGTGTAGTGTAGAGATTAATGGAAGAATTTTCAGTGCAACATAAATCAAATTAAATGCCACTAAGGCCACTGAGGAGAAAGAGGCACTAGGAAAGATAAGGATAAGGATTTTTTTTTTTTTACGAATTCGGATGCAGCCACAATTTACCAGCAAAGCAGTCTCCACTCTGATCAGCATTTCTGTCTACATTAACGGATTGCACGGGCTGCTGTCGCTCTTCTCGCTAAATTAAGCCATTTCCGTGTTGGGATATTTCCACGAACAGAGAACAGGCTGTTTCTAGCGTCGCAAATTCAGTAGTTTTGAAGTTTGCTAATCGATTGCTCGCTGCTTCGCTAGTGGAATGTGTAGCGCGCGGCAGCTAGCTTGTGTGTAGCGCTGCTTTAGGTGGGTCACATGAAGGGAGCTGAACCGACAGGACCATGGCGGACATAAGCGATGGAAAGCCTAGTTCTTCGGACGAAAACGGCCACGTCGAGAGCTCGGACGAAACCCTGTCACCCACGTCTGTAATCTACTTCAACGAGGCTCTGAGCTCGTCCAGCGTGAGGTTCGGTTCGCCCCAGTCTCTGTCGCCCACCACGCTGCGACGTGAGAATGACTTCCAGATCAAGAAACCCGAGTCCAGGATCAGGAGTAAGTCAGCTCAGATTTACCCAAAAGTGCCATAACAAACACAGGATTGAAGTGTTTTTGACTGTACATCAGCTGATCTGTCAGTGTCAACATGGTGTCAACAATAACAACCTCAGCCTCTTATGTGATAAATAAAGGGTTAAGTATCCTGTATGTATAAATATCCTCTTTCTGAGCGTTTACAGTAAATCCACTGATAGGGGAAACTTGAATACAGGGTCAGCTCAAAAGCAATACGTGTTGAATAATGATAGTGCCGAATGTGAGGCTTTAAAGGAGAAATACACACACTATAGTACACTGTTTGTATTCATTTTTATGCGATCATGTATGATATTTGTATTAACACGTTTCTAGACTTTGTGGAAAGAATAATTTATGAAGAAATGGCATCAGCCCACATGGGGAAACACAGCTACTGGTGATAGTTTGAATTATGGGTGTAGCGATTAATCCAAACGTATTTATTATTTAATTAATCGATTAAAAATCAGCAGATCTTTTTAGTGTTTTTTTCGCACTTGCACAACACATATCTTCACGTATATTGATAGAACAGACACGTATATGGTTTTTAGAGGGTGTTGGATGAAGCAATGCTTGTTTGATTCCATCACACATGCCACACAATGCACTGCTTTAGTATGTCATGCAGTAGAACTCAGAAACAAATACCTGAACAGTACATATAGTAATGCAATACATGACAATACCACAGACAGTAGACAGAAAACAAACTGCAACTCATGTGCACAGAGCTGTTTTGATTATACTTTAATTGTTTAAAATGGCAGAAGCGGAGGGGATGGTCATGTACTCAATAAATCTGTGCTTTGTAATTTTCACACCACTTACTTTGGGTTTTGTATTCATCAACATTAAGGCTGTAACTAGCAATTGTTTTGATTTGTTTTCGAGTGATTCTATCAATTTATTGTTTTAAGATTTTTTATATACATTGGAACTATACAGCTACCAGAGAAAATCCTTATAGATGAAGAAAAACTAAACATTTACATATTCTCAATAACTTAGATTTTTGAAAACACTTTATTGTTGCAATTCATTGTTACGGTCATAAAAACATATTTCCTAGCACAAAAATATGTTAGCTTTAAATTTTTGTTAAACAGCACTAAAATACAAAAATATAAATGTCAACTTGACTAAACCTGGAGCTGCCCAGGGATCATGATAGTGTCAATAATGCAGCCAGCGTGCTCTGTTTGGTTATGTGCTGACTTCTCACTCTGTGCTGAATCACCCTCTGTCTTAAACATAGTCTCACTGACTCACATACCATTGAGACTGAGGTTAGCAGGAAATAAGTGGCTAACACTTAATCCCCTGCCATCCCCGACACTGCTCTTTCGTTTAAGATACAACCTTTGCTGCCCAAGAACACATTATTTAATTAATTCAAAGTAAACATCTTTTTAGTGTTAATGTCAACATTGGGCCTCATTCACGAACGGTTCTTAGGAACAGATTTGTACGTAAATCCTACTTACGCGGTTTTTACGAAGAAAGTGGCATTCACGAATATTTCTCGTAACCAGAATTTCTCTTGGGCAAGTACAAATCCTACGAGTCCTCAGGAGCACTCGTACGCATTCAGTGCCGACATGTTCACACGCCGGGGTTGTCCTCTTTGGTGAAGTTGAATAAAAATACAACATTCCAGTGATATGTCCGTCATATCGATGTATGTATTTATTTATTTGTAGTAATCTTTATTAGTAATCTTTATTTATATACCGCCTTTTTCACTGCAGATCTGGCCTACTTTTTAATTCATTTTGAAATGAAATGTGCCAATCTTGCCGTGTATTAGTGACCCCTTCCTATTTATAGGGGGCATTTCTTTATCCACGGGCCACAGAACAACGGCATATATACTGCTGCTGCAGGAGGTTACTGGGTCCGCGCTGAGTCTCTGCGCTGGTCTCTCCCATGGATCTATACGGGTCTGCACTGGTCTCTCCCATGGATCTAGACGGGTCTGCACTGGTCTCTCCCATGGATCTATACGGGTCTGCACTGGTCTCTCCCATGGATCTATACTGGTCTGCACTGGTCTCTCCCATATACGGGTCTGCACTGGTCTCTCTCCATACGGGTCCGTGCTGCATGCTCCTGGATCCATACGGGTCCGCGCTGGTCTCTCAAGTCTGGTCTATGCGGTCTCTCTTCGGTCCGCGCTGGTCTCTGCGCACCGGTCTCTCCAGTCAGGTCACTACAGTCTATGCGGTCTCTCCTATAGGTCCGCGCTGGTTTCTGTGTGCTGGTCACTCCAGTCTCTCCTCGGGTCTGCATTGGTCTCAGCGCTGGTCCGCGCTGGATCTCCTCCCAGGGTCCAAAATATTTTGAGATTAATCTCAAAACATTTTGAGATTCATCTTTAAAATAATACATAATATATTTTTAAATTAAGCTCATAACATTTTGAGATTAATCTCATCATATTCTTAGATTAATCTCATAATTTTGCTAGTTTGACTTTATTATCATAATATTTCGACTTTTAAGTCAACATTTTATAACTTTATTCTCAGTCTGGTAAAAGAAGAAAAAAGGGTGACTCTTTTGCTCCGTGGCCTGTTGCTTTAGGCCTGTTGCTGTTTCCTCTGCCGTCTGCACACGGCCCTGCAGCCCCTTATATGGGCATTAGTGGGCGGTTACTTATGCTAAGTACCTATGCTAATGAAGCACCTGGCACGCGCGCTGTACTTGGAAATGGGATTCATCAATCTGAGAGAACAGCTGCGAACAATTCAGCGCCTTACGAGTGCGTTGATGAATCCCACGTGGGGACTTCTTAGAAATCTACTTAAGGACAACTTGAGAAGAAAGTTGAGTAGTTTCTTACGAAGTTATTCGTGAATGAGGCCCAATGTTTTTAAATAAAAAAGAACATTTCCATTTTCAGTAAAAGCTGGGTTTCCTAACTTTCAGACCACATATGCACAAAACAGTGAACTAAATATACAAAAGATGTACAAAATATTTTTTGCTCCCCTAGTTTTCCAATCTATATTGAAGAGCCCCGTAGAGCACAAACCTCTGCTAAGAGACACTGGCTCCATTCCTAAAATTATCCAGACGGTCAGCCGAACCCCCTCCAAAATCATTTGTTCCTTTTTCCATTCAAGAGATTTACTGGCATGATTTAATGTCATCAAAATCCTCAATCAACTTTTTGAGTCTTGTAGCTAGCTAATAGAGACAAACAAACAAACCCTGATGGAAACACAACCTCCTTGGCGAAGGTAAATATTGCAGAGAAAGCACTTATGTCTTTGAGAATAAGAAGTCATTGTGTTCCTAAAGCAGACTCTACAGAGGATCGTTTGCAGCTCTCTGGGGACCCCCTCTCCTCCTCCTCCTCCTCCTCCTCTCCATCTGCTCACGTGACCCCCTCTGCTCAGCACCACAGTCTGTCAGCCATCTTGGTCTACACCCACCGCCCAGTGCATTCTCTGCAGCGCAGCACGGGCAGCACCACTCAAGCTAATCTCGCACAGAATCACCGGACACGGATTTTCTTTCATTCGTCCTTTTCTGTTCCCCTTTCCCGCGCTTCACTGCATTTCAACAAGAGCTGCCAGTCACAGAGGAGGAGAAGAGGAGCTGTTTATGACCAGGAGGAGAAAATGATGCAGGCCTGAGGAAGAGGAGAGGACCATTCACACCTGCTCAAAGCTCCTCTATTCATTTTTACATCCTCCTCGTTGCTTCTGCTTTCCTGGGCTTTACAAAAAACGACTGGACCGAATCTCCGACCTCCCCCTCCTTTCCTTTCATCCTTCCCAGTTGTGTTGTTGCTTCGGTTTCAAGCTGAATCATCATGTCGGATCTGACGCCACAGTGCGAGACGCCGACTCCCACCACGGACAAGATCACGCAGGCGGCCCGCGAGACCATCTACCTGTGCAACTTTCGGGTTTCCGTGGACGGGGACTGGTTGTGTCTGCGGGAGCTCAACGACATCTCGCTCACCCCGGACCCCGAGCCAGCGCATGAAGGTAAAGAGATGGGGAGCTTTGTTGTGTTGCTGGAGGATTATGTTACATGGGCGTGGTGTGACAGAAGACGGCTGTGTGTGAAGAAGGTTGTGTTGTCGGTGTCATCATCGTCTGGTTTTCATCTCTGGATGTGATGAGGAAGTAGAAAGATGACAACGCAAGAGCAATGTCAGGCTGATGCTTGTCTGAATAGTATCGCAACTCGATACTGATTTGAGCAAGTATTCATGTTTGTATATGCATAAACATGACATGATGAGTGTGAGTAAGGGTGATTTAGTATTTTATTTATTTATTTATTTCAGTGTATTCCTGCCAATAATTTGCAGATTTTTACATTATGTTAAAAATATACACATTGAAGTTGAACCATAAACAGAATAGACTAAGCAAAACACATTTAAAGCTGCGGTATCTAACTTTAAACCGCAAAAACTAAAACTACAGTATGTAACAAAATCCATGTAACCAGTTTGATTCGATCACTAGTTTTCACATCTGTCACATCTTATAATTAAATCAGCTTTTTCATACTGAAAAGTGAAAAGTAAGGCCCACCTTTACTTTACACAGGACTCTTTTCCCTTTGTTATAAATGCAAATTATATATTATATTATATGTGTTCGAAATGGTATGAAGATGGCATGTTTACAAGTCTCTTTCTGTTGGCTGTGGTCTTCATAAAAAAGTTAGGTACCCCAGCTTTAACTTTCAAAACAAAGTAACAATTCATCACTTTGTACATTATTTATTCATGGAGAGTTCCCTGAAATGCATCTGCTCATGTTAAAAGGGGCTCTCAAGTATCAAGGCGATTCTATTGAAACTTTAATATTATTACGGCACCGACCTGGCGCCGCACTACAGCTGGGAAAAATCAACAGAAGACGTTGTCATGACGACGTACTTCTTCACTAGTATAAAACTTATGTTGTTCATTAAAAAAGTAGCTGGAACAATAGATTTAAAGATTAACATGTATCATAGAGTGTAGGTGTTCCTTTAAGGTGTAGGTGGATTTGGAAAGAAAAGCATGTATCACCAGAATGATTGACAGTTAGGAGGACCAATAGTCTTGATGATCCACCCAGAAGTAGAAAGTTCTAGATACCTTTAAGTTTTCGGGCCAGATCTAGCTTAGTGCTAATTTTGTAAAGGACACATGTAGTGATTTGGCTTTGGTTACACACACAATTTTTTTTTGTATGTCTTGTTTTTATTAATAACAAAAAAACAGACAAAGACTTTAACATTCAACAATAACACAAAACGAGCACAACAAAAACAAAATGAATAAAACAAAAAACACGAAAGTACAACCCCAAACAGAACAAACATGACAAAAATTATGAAAGTTTAAAACCAAAAAAAAACAACACGTTTTTTCACAATATTCTAAATGTGCTACTATCAAATAGAATTAGAGAAATAAATCAAGTAAATGTACATGTGTGTTTTCGTTCAGATCCCAAAGACCCCATCGCGATCGAGAGGCTGAATCTCATGAACATGGCCAAACTGAGCATCAAAGGCCTCATCGAGTCGGCTCTGAACCTCGGACGGACGCTGGACTCCGACTACGCTCCTCTGCAGCAGTTCTTTGTCGTGATGGAGCACTGTCTGAAGCACGGCTTGAAAAGTGAGTAATGGTAAAGTTCACTGTTACACCCCTAATAGAAAATCATCTTCTTTCCCGCATATAAAGTTGTTTTTAGCGCCACCGACACTAATATGAGGACGTTCTGGCAAAAATCAACACAAGCTTGCTCCCTTCTTCCTCCTAGCTGCTTTCTTCCCTTAAAACATAAATATTGCATTTTAAATAATGTTATGTAATTGTAATTGACAATGTAATTGTCAATAAAATAAAACAATATTTTCAACTGCATGCCATCATTTATACCACTTAATAATGTAACTATAGCAGAGTGTAATTCCCACTTTTACCATTAGATGGGGGTGTTGGCATATCCTACTCACCACTTACTCCATAAGTCATTTTTATCCTTTTTTTTGTTGTATTTGTACTTGGTTCTTATCCCTCTCATGTTAATGGCCAAAATGGACACAAACAATTCATTTCTTTAAGCTGATTTCACTGTGCTTTTGTAATCTGCTAATGTATTGTAGAAAATGGCAGGAAGTCAGCTTAACTATCTCATTAATTTCTGTCGTTTTACATCAATATTGTTATTTAAAAGGTTCTGATTGCATAATAAACTTTGATGGGTGTCGGAAATTATTGCATGTTTGGTTGGAGATGGCACTATGTATTCACACGTATTCAAAAAGGTTCAAATGGACTTCCAAGGCAAATGTAACAAATTATATTTTTATTGCATTGTTGACTGTGTGTTCACTTATGCCTTCACTTTCATTACTTTCATGTCTTCAATCATCTTTCCTGGTCTAAAATATGTCTCGTATGTCTCAATTCTTAGCCAAGAAGACATTCCTTGGTCAGAACAAGTCATTCTGGGGAGCGCTTGAACTGGTCGAGAAGTTGAATCCTGAAGCTGGAGAGATTACAGCCAGTGTGAAAGACCTCCCCGGACTCAAGTAAGTCTCACGTGCAAGTAGCGTCACAATGTACCTGTATTTACATTATCCTTTATCGAGCTGTTTTTAAACCCTGTATGTTTTGTGGTGTGGCAGGACACCGTTGGGACGAGGGCGGGCCTGGTTACGGCTGGCGCTGATGCAGAAGAAGCTCTCTGACTACATGAAGACCATCATCAACAGGAAGGATCTGCTCAGGTTCGTGCTGGAGATCGCTCTAAAAACAATGTTTGTGTGTAAAAGGGATCTTGAGAATTTGAGATTTAACAGAAAGTTATGGTTGGATTGATATATTCCTTCTGGCAACTCACTGCAAATTATTTCCTGACAATTTCCACTTAATTACTCAACAACTTCTTCAAAAAATGCAGAGATTGTTAATGAGACCTCTAATGTATGGGCCAGTCAATTGCTCTTTAAATCACATCCGATTAAGACTTAAAGGAACAGTATGTAACCATCTGGCCAAAAGTGGTACTGCAACCTCTTCCACTCTCCCTGACTCAGGTTGCCAGATATGCAGACAAATCCAGCTGGGACCATAATAACTGAGTAGATAAAGAGTTCTGTCAACAACAAATCTATAACCAACACCTTTTTCACAAAGGCCCTGATAGAAATCCTTGTTTTGTTCCTTGTTATTACTCCATTAATGATTTGAGAATCACAACAAGACCTTTTTTAGTTCTGCGGCCACATGTTTCTTTACCAGTGAATATTTTGAAATGCGAATATCTCGGCTGAACTACTGTTAGCAGATAAAGAAGTATTAGAAAAGAGCATGGTTTATTAATGCCTTTTGACAGATTAGGGCCATTTAATGATGACTTGACATGAAACTCTTACATATTGCCACTTTAACGTTGATTTTGCTTTCTCTTGATTTGCAGTGAGTTCTACGAGTCCAACGCTCTGATGATGGAGGAGGAGGGGGCTGTGATCGCTGGGCTGCTGGTCGGGCTCAACGTCATCGATGCAAACCTTTGTATGAAGGGAGAAGACCTGGACTCCCAGGTCATTTATCACACATACAAAGACAAAGCTTAAGAATAGGCTCCAGATCAGGGATGTCAAACCGTCCTCACTGAATGTTCCGTTCGCACATGCGCTGGGAACATTCAGAGCTATTCACCGCCCCCTTTCATTTCATTTTTCATTTATTTATTTATTTGAACAGGGACAGTGTACAATATACATTAACCTCAGAAAGGAGAGATGCATTGTACCAGGTTGTAGCACTTGTGCTAATTTCCACCTGCAGTCCCTGGGCAGACTGATGTCAACATACAAAGTTTTAGAAAATTACACATGTTAAAAATACATTTCCCCCTAAACAGCATTAAAATGAAACCAATTTACAGTACTTTATGGGAACAGGTTTGTTTTTAAAAGAAGCCATTTTTTGGCCTGGTGTGAAAAAGTGTTAAAATGTACACATGTGGTCAGCTCTGTTGGCAACATATTCCACTGTCTGATGGCCACACTGGAGAAGGCTGAGAAGGCCTTAAAACCGCAGCTACGTTTCACTTCTCAGCCAATTTTCACGCCTGCTTGCACACTCATTGACATGCACAATATTCCCTTTCGCAGGTCGGAGTGATCGACTTTTCCATGTACCTAAAAGACGGCGCGACCACGAGTAAGAGCGCAGAGGGGTAAGTGGCCGCGCCGTCGAGTCAGAGCAAATGTTGTTTTGTCAATTGGGTTCCAATAGCTTGTAGCTGTCATTAGAGAATGTCCAACATACAGCTCTTTTAAAAAAGAAAAAATCTTAAACACCATTTTAAAGTAAATCAGTCGTGCTTTCATTTTAACTAACTGTAACTTGTATAGTTGTAATTTGTGATTTGTATTCTTGTTATTGTGTGACCAGCCTCGGGACTACGGATGTAAATTAGTTTTGCTAAAATCCGGCACAATTACTGCACAACTTGTATATGATAGTCCCCGATCAAATACATAAATAATTAAAATAAGTGTGTATTAGCAGCTAACTAGGAACCTTGTTAGAGTGTCATTGAAAAGTCTATTTATTTGTTTCAATTCAAATTATTATGTGAAACTACTATATATTTGTGATAATGTTGATATTTGGCTCACAGCTGTAAAACATCTCGTTTTGAAATAGGTCTGAGCCAAAGCCATCAACATCATAACAAAAGGGACATAAGCCTGTTGGCTTATGTCCCTTTTCATGTAATCATATTTTGGTGTCACATTTTAAGTTGAATTCTTGAAATAAATGAACTTTTGTGCAAGATTCAGATTTTTTTCCGAGTTTCGGCTGTTTTGTTTTTTTCTGTCACTTTCTTCTAACAATATCTCCTTTCCTCGTGTGTTTTGATAGTGACGGCCAGATCACCGCCATCCTCGATCAGAAGAATTATCTAGAAGAACTAAACAGACATTTAAGGTTTGTTCTTTTGACTTGTATTTTCACCAAAGTTTAAAACATAATTCAAGATGAGATTTTTTTTAATTTTTTGTTGTTGTAGTGCATCAGTTTTTAACCTCCAGGCCAAATCAGAAGTCTTGGAAAAATCAAACGCACGACTTACAGAAGAGGTAAGCTCCCTATTCACACAGAGTAACATGGGCTGTTCCACTGCACTCACCACCATCTGTGCCACGACTTGTTGAGAACAGCCCTCTATAAATACAGAAAAAATATTAAAGGAGCAATATGTAATATTTGCATGTCAAGTCATCATTAAATGACCCGAATATTTCAAAAGGCGTTATTAAATCATACTCTTTTCGAATTCATCTTTAACTGATAACAGTAGTTCAGCCGAGATATTTGATTATCAAAATTAGTTTTACGACCCGTAAAAGTTGTTATTGTTTTGATTTTGATGTCCTACCCTCCGCCGTTTCGCCAATCAGGAAGTGTCATGTAAGTCCGTGATCGGGTTGCCAGAACTCCGCGCGGCTCATCAATCTCAGAGGTAAAATAACATGTGGCGCAGAACTAAAAAAGGTCTTGTTATGACTCTCAAATCATTAATGACAAAACAAAGACTAAAACGAGGATTTATATCGGGATGCCTTTGAACAATTGAGACAGCTGATAAAAGTTCACGTGTGATGCAGAATTTTCTAGTTTGAGTCCGTTCTTCACGGTGTCTCTGTTCGTGAGAACCGGTGGTCTAGTGGTCTAAGCTGTGCGCTTACGATGCAGGAACCCGGGTTCGATCCCGGGCTATGTCTTTTTGTATTTATTGCATGTTATCACATTCTATGACAGATTGCTCTAAAAACGGTAAAAGATGAAGGTCAAGACGTTTTTTTGCAGATTATAGCTCAATTGTAAAAATAATCATTTAAGACCACATGTACCCCAATTAAAATAATGTTAGTCTCTTTTTGATGTGGAACTTTTACATGTTTGTCTAAAAAATAGGGAATAAATAAAATGAAAGGTCCTCTTGAGCAAACCCTGATGTTGATACGCTGAAGAAATACGTTCCCAACATCCATTCTTCCCACTCCTATTTTGGACATCAATTGCTTATTTATTTTGCATAAACTATGTATAATTACATTGCTTTTATTTAGTTTTTGTTTTTTATCTCAAATGTCCAAATAATAATAATAATAAAAAAACATTAATCAAAACATTCATTCAGCATTAGCACGGCTGTCATGGCAATGTGAATGGAGACGGACAAACAACTGATAAAATAATTCCCTGTGTTTGCTGCTGGATTTGGTGTGAATCTGGCAACCTGAGTCAAGGAGAGTGGGAGAGGACTACAAAATATTGACTGTGACTGCAGTACCACTTTTGGCCAGATTTTTACATATTGTTCCTTTAATTGTAATGTTAGAATTCTGTTTTTTTGTGGGGGGGTTTCAGAATAATGTCAAACAATTCTGGCTCCTCACATTTGATAAAGTTACAACATAATCGTATTAATGTAACTGCTGTAGCTAAAAAGTCTCATTTTTTGTTATTCCATTCATTAATTGCCTTTCAAGTGTGACTTTGTTAGCATAGCAGCATAGTTTTGACCTTTTTGTTCTTTGCAATAGCTCGCCGTGGTCAACAACCGGTTCATCACTTTACAAGAAGAAGTGGAAAGAGTAAAAGAAGAGAGTTCGCAACAGTTGGAGTCCAGAAAGGTATCGGCTTTTTTTAACATCAGGAATATTCACTACTTTTGGCTTGAAATGAACGGTTTGATTTGAATTTACAGGCAGTAAGAAGTGACTCCGCGAACGGTCAGGCCCTCGGGGAATCTCGGAAGCAGCTCAAAGAGGAAACGCAGCTGCGATTGGTGCGTTTTGAGATTTTGAAAGCAGCAAGAGGCTGTAATGTTTGTCAAAGTCACCAACACATAAAGCAAACCTGTAATAATAATAATAATGCATCGGTTTTATATAGCGCTTTTTTGGACACTCAAAGACGCTTCACATGTGTCATTATTCATTCACTCCATACACGGTGGTGATAAGCTACTACTGTAGCCACAGCTGCCCTGGGGCACACTGACAGAAGCGAGGCAACCAGTATGTGCCATCGGCCCCTCCGACCACCACCAACCATTCACACACACACCAGACTCATTCTAGGCAATGGGGGTGAAGTGTCTTGCCTAAGGACACAACAGCAGTTTGGCACTTTACAGCCGCAGCCGCCCCACTGTGGCTGGTGTTCCCAGAGGTTAAGTGTCTTGCCAAGGACACAACAACAGTAGTCAGTGGGAGTCGATGGTGAAAGTCTTGAGCGGGGCTTGAACCCACGACCTTCTGGCTCAAAGGCCAACGCTCTACCAACTGAGCTACTGCCGCCTCTGTAGCTCCAGGTTCTTTCCTCTAGACACACACACTGATGAACGCACACGACACACACTGCACCACACACTTGCAATGAATCACAAGGTTAATAGTAATACATTTATAACTCAGTAAGGCAGGGCCTTATTTGTATAGCACAATTCATACACAAGGCAACGCAAAGTGCAAAATAAATAATCACAGTATAATAAAAAGAAATATAAAAACATAAAATCATTTGTATGCACAGCTAAACAGAACTGTTTTTAACCTGGTTTTAAACATTGTCAGAGAGGAGGCCTGTCTTACACTTTCAGGAAGGTTGTTCCACATTTTAGCAGCATGAATCTGAAAAGCAGCCTCCCCATGTTTAGTCCTGACTCTGGGCACTAACAGGAGTCTAGTCCCTGTGCTCCTCAGAGTCCAGTCCCTGTGCTCCCCAGAGTCAGGGCTGGTTCATATGGGACTAACATGTCACTAATATATTTTGGTGCGAGGCTATGGAGAGGCTTATTCACAGTAAATCACCTTTGAATGTGTTTTATTGTGACAAACCAACCAGTGTATGCAGACACAAGTGTTTGACCCAAGGTCAGTTTAGTTTATTTATTTATTTATTTATAATGTCAAGGACGGTGTACAATAAACATTAACCTCAAAGGGAATTGCATTGTACCAGGTTACAGCTCAAGAGCAGCTCACCCTGGGCAGGCTGGTGTTATGATATTGCGGACAAACACTGAGCTACCACCTCCTACATGTACATGCCATGTGCTTCTACTAGGTAGGTAGGTTTCCTCCCTGTGCTCCGGTTTCCCTTACTACTAAAAACATGTACATAGGTATCTTGGCATCTCCTGCAGACATCTAGAGTCTTTTTAAGAAACAACATAGATTTATTTTTGATCATGAAGCAGTTTTTTTCATGTGAAACACACACCACCAGATAATGATGTGTAATCGTTGCTGGTGCGCAGGACGTGGAGAAGGAGCTGGAGGTGCAGATCGGCATCAAACAGGAGATGGAGCTGTCCATGAAGATGCTGGAGAAGGACGTTTGCGAGAAGCAGGACGCTCTGGTGGAACTCAGACTGCAGCTGGACGACATGCGAGCCATCCACCTGCAGCTCAGCCACAAGGCACAGGTGTGTGTTTGTTTGTGTGTGTTTGTGTTCATAAAATAGACCTTTGTTCATCCCTCAGTGGGGAAATTAAATTTCAATGTCATCTTTGTGCACATTACCGCAGAATCTAATCTTTTTTTGTAAATTCAAAAGCATAAATAATCACACTACATTAAAATGAGTGAAAATACAGTCCGTCAGTTGCATCCAGGACTGTTTGGACCTGGATTTGAACATTGTCAAATTACAAACCTGTCTTGCATTTTCAGGAAGACTAAATCTGAAATGCTGCCCCCCCATGTTTAGTTCTAATTCTGGGCACCAGCAGGAGGCCAATCCCTGTGCTCTTTAGAGTCCGAGTTGGTTCATATAGACCAGGGACAATGCTAACGCTCTAGCTCAATGAACCCAATAGAGAAGTGCTCATGGACAAAGATTTGCTCCTACTCTCTTTGGCTCCTATTGACCCCTTACTGTTGATAAACAAATCTGGATGCACTTGCAACATACTTTTGTACTACAGTCTTACACGCCACAAACAATATCTATAATCAACATCTTTCTGTCCTCGTGCCTCCATCTATTCTTTGGTGGTGCCTTTTTTGTCTGGAATTGCTCTATGGTAATTACAGTGAGGCAATAAAGTATTTAGTCGGCCACAATTGTGAGTCTTTAATTCCTCTCAAATCTTAGGGATCCCTCAACTTGGACTTGCATAATTGGTGGTTGACTAAAGACTTTGGAGGACAGAACAAAGGAGCGATAAGCACTTGTTCGTTGAGCTGCTTTACTCAATCTCTAGGATCAAAAGTCTTTAAAATCGAGTGTGTCAGGATGAGCTGACACACTACTAAATTTATCGTGTTGTTCAAGATTTAAATGCTGTTTTTGTTATTCTGTTATTTGTTATTGTAAAATTAATTGCTTGCTTGCAATTGACGTCACGTCCGCCTCATTACATATGCGTATCACGGACTGGTGGTCAGCCGAGCTAGTTGTTCCCTAGAGCAGCGTGTCTGAATCTGCCTTTTGTATGTGTTCTTTTAAGTTCGAATTGTGAAACCTTTAATGGATACTTTAGGATTCCTTGTGAAGAGATGAATAAAGAGCCTCGCACTAAGGACTTTACGAAAAGACGCAGGAAAAGTGGCTCACTAACAATTCACTAGCAGACGCTTTTACCTCTAAGGATTAATTATGTACCCAGCCATGCAGTCACAATGCACAGTTATTAAATGCCCATCTTTATTTCATTCATTGTCAGGTATGAGTCTGCGTTTTAAATATACACTGTGAATGTTTGACCTGAAAAGAACACAGCCACAGACGCATTGTTTTGTTGAGAATGACAAGTTCATAGCTCTGTACGATGCAGGATTTGTCCTTCAGGACCTCAACTCTGAGTTCTTAAACCCACAGACGGAAAAGTTGCAGTATCCGTGTTTATCCAAACCTTCAGTTGTTTAGCAGTGCAAAAGCTTGATTGTAACACTAGCTGTGGATTAGAATCTAAAGTGAATAAAAAGACAGTCTAGGATCTTGCCTTTAATTCAGACAGAAAACATGTTTTATTGTCGATGGTAGAGGCAGCATAAACAAAGACGTTACAGAATGTAAGTGACATACAGCGGAGGAATGGAGACTTATTAGCATATTAGCATTTGCCGCGGTCCCAGTAGCTTCAACCTTGATATTACCAAAACATGTAGTGAAAAAATTCTGCCTTGAGCATATTGTTAGAATGATGAGTTAGAACGTTCACCACAGTAGCTTCAAAGTGTCATCAAATATCCAAAAAAGCAAAAAATACTCAGAAGAGTCGCATTTTCTTCATATATCAGCAGCAACTCTTGCTGGCCTGACCACCACTCCGTCAACCGGAAGTTTATGCGTCACGTGACTGCAAGCAAGCAATAAAGAAAGTTGGATTCAAATGGAGAGACTGTGTAGACGAGTTCCTTGCTCTGTGCTTAGAGATTTTTATTTTATTTTAATTAGTAATGAGCTATTTTCACAAGATATCTATTTTATCTTATGTCGCGTGCTCCTTATTCCTACTGTTTGTAACTGCCGATGCAACACTGAAATATCCCCCACTGTGGAACGAATAAAAAATCTCTTAATCTTATGTGACCGTTGTGTTTTCAGAGCGCAGAGGCCGGCTCCAAACAGAAATCTGAAGCCATCAGTCGATTGGAGGAGAAAATAGACCAAATGTCAGGGACCATTAAACAACTGGAAACCAGGTGAGACCCTTTCATTGTGTCTTATATCGTCACAATGTTGTGGCTAAGTTGAGATTTGATGCATACAAAGAAATGGATTTGATTTTCACACGTTTTTCCTAACCCTAACTATCCTCTATGTCACTCCACCTGTTTTCATTTATCATTTTTTTTTTGTCATTTATTATGATTTTAGCGACGTGGATTTATTAAAGCAAGCCAGAAGTCTAAACTCGGTTGCTGGGAAAGTTCTCCAGCTGTAGCAGGGCGCCTCACATACACTAATCAATAACACATTTACCCATAATCCACTAAATATATTGAGTTTACTTCCAAATGGTAAAATTCCTGCTGCATTAATTCTACACGAGCTTGGGAGTTTTTGTTTGATTTGGACGATTTTCTTTCAGATTTTTCTCTGGTTTCCAATTTTCTTCTGCACAATGTGTAGAACAAACAGTGATGTTATATCGGATGGGTTTTCTCTTTGACACAACACACTCTGTAGACTGTTGATTCAATTATATTCCAAAGATTCTACGGAGCCAGATTGTCCAGATTAGAAGCGGCTAATCCAGGTTTTGGTTTATTCGTTTTGGACCGTGAGGTGTAACCTGTAGTGAATCATCAATAGTCTTAATAAAATGTGAAATCAAACCTGAGAGGCTTGCGTTATTCTTCAAACCCATTTCATCCTTTCCGCTTTGTTTTAAACCATTTTTGCGTCTAGTTTTTGTTCCGTTCCGTTCATCGTTTTGTAACAACCCCCCACTCCTCACCCACTAAACCAGATGCAAACAGACGGAGAGAGAAAGGGAAGCGGCATTCGAAGCCAACCGTCTCTTTAAGCTGGAGTTCGGAGACAAGATCCAAAGTCTGCAGGAGGAAGTGGAGCTTCTGACCAAACAGAGGTACTATTCACTCGGGCAATCAACATTTATTTGTATAGAACAGTTCATACAGAATGCAGCTCTCAAAGGGCTTCACATTGACAGAATTTAAAACCAATTAAAAACAGATTGATGTATTATTTCTTATTCATTCATTAATTCTTTCATTTTCAACCTCTTTATTATTGCATTTCTGGGTTGGGGGGGTGGCAATGACAGCTGCCAGTGCCACCCAATGCTCATAGCACCGGTCCCTCGCTGATCCTCTACAGGTGGTGAGTCCACAGAAAGATGGCTGCTACATCAGTGGTGCCACAGCCTTAATGTTTCAGCGGGAGCTTCAGGCAATGTGGGGTTAAGTGTCTTGCCCAAGGACACAACAGCGGATTTATTGGCATCTGCTGAAATACTGAAAGAGAATTCTACAACAGCAACACATTCACAATACAATAGTGGAGTTGGTTGTTCTAATTTTCTTCCAAGTAAGAACAAAGAAAGTCAGTAGTAAAAATCATGTCGTTATTTTTGATTGACCCAAACCATGATCCAGCTCCAGTGCTAGTTCTTCTTACACTATATAGAAGCTAGGTTGCTGGAATCATGACATTTGAAGCAGCCATTCGTTGTCTGATGTACTGTTTTATCTGTCGGCTCAATGAAAGCCAGAATATTATAATCATAAGCAAATGTCAAGTGCCACGCGGTACCAGTCAAATCTGTGGAGACACTCTTTGCTCTGAGAAGTGAGGCTGATTACTGTGACTATGTGTTGTTTTGTGTTTTTATGTGATGTGTTTGTCTTATCCTGGACCATGAGTCTGTAATAAAAGTTTGATGATGATGATGATTACTTCCTTTTGTGCTTTTGCTTTTAGGTCCAAACTGCAAAGTCAAATCCGGAGACAGCAAGAGCAAAGAAGCGACCAAAGCAACGCTGTGCCCCGACAGCTGAGCACTCCTCAAAGGGAACGGAGGAGAACGGACACACTGGCTTCGGTAAAACATCATTTTCTGCCCCTTTTTTTAGTCCAATGCTCCCTTAACTGAGCCACTGTCGCCCCCAGGCTTCGGTACATCACACAATTACATTTCAATTCAGTGTGTTTTTGCATAGCCCTAAATCAGTGTATAAAAGTACCTTTAAAACCTTGTCATTTTGTATTGGAAATAGCAGCAAAAAACCCGGTCCACTTTTACGAACCATGAATATTTGAGGCCAGAATAAATCCATCTGTTGTTAGAACCATAAAGCCTGGTTCACACGAGACGATTTTAAAATTGTCGGCCAATTTTTCTCCGTGTTAGACCCCACACAGGGAGATTAAAAATCCTGCGTCTAACCACTTTGGTCGTGCAGTGTGTGGTGCGTAGCCACACGGCAAGATCACGCAAGCCACAAACATCACACACGAACCGACCCCCCCCCCCCGAGCATTCCCAGGTCAGACGGAAATCTCACAAAATCTCTCGAGATCAAGCGTGACTTCAGAGTAAACAGTCATGGCGGACGAAGAGGATGCAGTGGCGATAGTGTGCAGTTTGTTGTTAACAGAGAAGAGACGTAATCCAAAGAAAAGGCAATGGTCAAAGCCATGCTGCTGTGTTTTGGTTTTTTTCCGGTGTTTCCTCACCGGCTTGTCACCTCGTCTTCTTATTGGCTACACGCCGTTGTCATGGCAACGCGCTCGCTTGTCCTCGGAGGACACCACACACGACAAGAAATCGGGCCAAAACAATCCAACATGTTGGATATCCCCGATTTGAGATCGGGAGCAGTCCCGATGTCCTTCTGAGCGACGAGTGCAGTCTTAACACACCACACACGGCAGGATAATCTGTAAGATTTTGTTACGGAAATCGGAGCATTTCTTAAGATTGTCGTAAGGGGTAAATCGGGTCTAAATCGGCCTAAATATCCTGCCGTGTGAACCAGGCTTAAGTCCATAGAGTCCAGATTGTAACCTTGTAACCTGTAACGTCTCATATTTCCTCCTCTCCAGAGCCTTCCCGAAGCGACGCTGGTGCTAAAGGGCAGTGAGCAGCAGTGTCTGTGCGGACAGGAGGACCGGACCAGTCTGAGCTCCAGTCTGTGAGTCTGGATCCACATCACTGCTGCACGTAAACCCTAATGCAGATTTATAACGGGATGTGTTTCTCTCAAAGGTCTCTGTCTCATCACGAGGACGAGCCGGTGAGTGTTGTTCCGGTTCTTCACACTCTGCTCTGGCTGCCGACAAGTCACACTGATACTTCATTTTTGATGTTTAGAATATTTTTGTATCTAACAGAAGTGGAAATCTAAAAATAGGAATGGTTTGAATTTGAAAAAAACAAAATAAGAGTTTGATTGTGTACCTATTTTACCTCTGTATCCTGTTTATTTTTTGTTATGCCATATCAAAAGTTTGAACTCGATACTTACTACTACAAAGCTGCTAATTACTAAACTACTACTGCTACTGCTAGATTTACTACTGCTACTAAACTCTACTTCTACTGAATAAATGTACTCCATCTTGTTTTTCAGGACGAATCGTTTCCAGAACCCGCTCGAGCTTCTGTTTGTATCAAATGTGAACAACACGACTCTCTGCACAAGGTCAAGGTGAGATGGCTTCTCTTTGGCTTCATTTTTATTAGTTTATTATTTATTTAATTCAAGTTTATTATTATTCAATAAACTAAATGCATAAAAGTCGACCATCAGATGTGATATAAATGCTTAATTCCCAGCGACAGGCCTCAGGTTGTTGAACATGAGACCATTTTGTGGCTCCAACGGTCAACGATTTTCAAATATTATTATTAAGTTGCATTGACGGTTAGAGGTTACTTTTCTCCAAAATACTCTGGTCTCAGTCTAATATTGTCTTTCACTATGTGGGTTCTTACACATTGTAATTAGTAACAGTTGTAAAGTAAAGGTGCACTTTCTTTATCCCCGTAGTGCAATTCTTCCTCTGCATGTGACCCATCCTGATGCCACTAGGCGTCTGTCAGGAGCAGTGGTCTGCGTAGAACAGCGGGTGAATGGACTTCTGAATGATATTTTAATTCTCAATTTCAGCTGTAGCTTTAATTTGGTTATAGTGAAAATACTGTATATGAAATTGACCAAATGCAGAAATGAGCTAAATGTATTTATTTCAATAGGGACAGTACACATTAATCAACCTTTCTGTAAATGTAAATTGTTTCCTTATGTAGTCCAGAGGCAAAAAATTGTTAAAATATTCTTATTTTAATCAGGTAATTAAAACATAAACAAAATAAAACACAATAGCATACTCCAAATCCTGAATGGTTGCAAGCTTGATTGCCCAATAACCATGTATGTGTTTTGCGCGTATGTATTATATGTGTGTGGTGCTCATGACCACAAGTGGATGATGAAACGGGAGTAAACCTCACAAACCGGACGTCGTTCTTCTCTCTTCCAGACGCAGTGTAAAAACTGCTGCGGCGTCTTCTGTGAAAGCTGCGTGTCCAACGAGCTGCCGCTGCCCTCCTCCATTCTCCCCGAGCGTGTGTGCAACGACTGCTACGGACTCCTGCTCCAACAGTACGCCTCCTCCCCCACATGAGACCACTGCCAAATATGGTCGTATGCACTTTAGAAGGAAGTTACCTGGAGTTTGAGTCTGGATGCATGACAAAATGAAGGGTATATTGGTCTGAGAGTGGGGAAATCAAGGACCGGATTCAGGGTTTGTACAGAATTGATTTAAAAAAAAAAGACAAAATGGATATGTCTGTGTCTATTGTGCTCGACTTTAGCCTCATTCCCACTGCACAAAAACACAAGATTTACAGTCAAAAACTTTGCATACACACTGAGAAAACTCAAACTGTTATTTTAGTTTGTTGCTTACAAAGTGGTAAAGAAGGCGATACAACGACACACAAGTCACACGAGGGACTTTGCATAATGACAGCGGAACTAGCCGTGGAGCTGTGTTTGGGTGAGTGAAGCTCCTAAGATCAAATTTTGGGCTTTTGTCTGTGCTGCTCTTCCCTTTAGAAAGATGTCCATGTGAATACTACGTTTGAAAATGCTTATATAGCTCTATGTGGCTGATAAACTTGCCATAGTTCATTTTAAGACTTGCGTTGGTCCTGTGATTTTAGAAAACGTATTTTGAAAGTCTTTTGGACACACACACGTCACACATAATAGATTTCACTACACACACATTAAAACTTAGATTTAAAAAACTAAAATGAATGTCCTTGTTCCCGACACACACAATGAAAATAATCATAAAAGTCCTGGTTTATGGCGACAAAAGAGAAAATTTCAAACTTTATTTCAGAACGTGTATATTAGAGTTCCCTTAACCATGACTTCCTGGTTTTCCGTGACTCTGTACAAACCCTGACACTTGTTGCTGAAGTCAATCATCTCATTATTAATTTATTTGTACCTTGTCCACCGTGTGGGCAGCTCCATGCACTGCATAGAAACCTAAAATTGTACTTGAGTAAATATGTTATACCAGTAAGTACTAGAAATTACACTGAGAGCCAGTATTTGTACGTTCTACTCCACTACATGGAACTGGCCTAAAAAGTAAAAGTACTTCACTTAGCGGTTAAAACATCCTGAAATTGATTTTTTTGAAACGCAAAAAAATTCTGCAAAATAATCAGCACAATTCTTATTATTTTATGCACTTTACCTACTCACAACACACGCCTTCACCTGTGACTATACAATTACATCAACTCATTGACTGCCAGCCGTTTTTGATGATTTCACTTATTTTCATGACCCACAGAATATTTTGTGCTATGCCTATTTGAAATATGAAACCAGATTCTGAAAGACTGGACTGTCTTCTTTCATCAGCAAAAATACATTTCTTTCTAGCGAGTTTTGTTCTCCTGTAATCCCCAGTCAAATATAGGGAAGTTTGACAGAAATGACCAGTCTCAGACGTGAATAACAGTCGATGAGTTAAATGTTGGATTCTTTCACAGTTCTTAAAGCTTGTGTACCTAACTTTATTTTTTCATTAAGACTTTCTGTTGGGACAAACATATTATTGAAGTGACATTTTGTGAACAAATCAGAAAACATTGAGATCATTTTTTGCCTACTTGTGCCATGTGAGTCACTATTTGACCATTTGGGCTGAGAGCTGATTGGTTGAGTGGAAGGATCCAGACCAAGACCTGATCTGGATCAAGACTAGACCTGGATTAAGACCAGACCAAGACTAGACCAAGACTAGACCATGACCAGACCAAGACTAGACCAAGACTAGACCAGGACTAGACCAGGACTAGACCAGGACTAGACCAGGACTAGATCAAGACTAGATCAAGACTAGACCAAGACTAGACCAGGACTAGACCAAGACCCAACTGTTGTGAGAGCAAAGACCTTGTTTGATGATTTTCTTGGTGTTTATAGCTAGAAAGTTAAGTACCCCAGCTTTAATTTGCACAAAACACTTGCATAGACAGGAGATTTTTTATGCTATCCTTTTTATGCTCATTTAGCTTTTTACTTTAACTTCAGACGACGCAGTATTTCTTCCTTCTGCCTTTTTTAGTCACTGCCTTTAAAACCTGACTAACAAGGGAAACATGACCGTGTAAAACAGCTTTGGGATTTGGGCATTTTCCTGTTTGCTGATGTGTTATGAATGAATGAATCACTCAATAAAACTTTAAAAACAACACTGTAAAACCTGAACTTGTCAAAACGTTTTCTCTGTGCATGAAGATTTAGAATAAACATGTTTACATGGAATTATTGAAGTTCATTGTTATTATTTCAACACAATCATTATTAGTCACAGCAAAGTCAGATGCTTCAAGGATCCTGTGGTATGTCCATGTCAAGAATGGTTTTTTACTTTATCAAAAGAGCCTTGGATTTCTTTTGAATTATATTTTATAGTAGAGAAGCAAGTATTTATTATAATCTACTACTTACTGTGTTAAAAGACCCCTTCACACTTTTTACACTGGACGCATCAATCCCCATAACGTCACAGATCTGTTTCAAAAAGAACTGTCCTAAGTGACCCGGGGACTTGGTGTGACTGATGTATACTTAGAAAATGTAACTACGCAAAAGTACAATTTCTTCTAAAAAAAAAATACAAGTTCATGTACTTTATTTCTTTTGAATTAGTATTTTCGATTCTGGATACAGATGGATTGTGCAGAATCACCGGGAGAGCTAAATGTTTTATATTGATTACAGGGTTGGCGTATGTTTGTTTTGTATGACCTCCTGTAATTGAATACCATAATGCGAATGTGTTCAAATGTAAACTGCTCAGAAAAATACCAAATTTTTCCCTCATGTGTAGAATGTGTGATGTGAGGTATGAGACGCAGGAAATAAAACATGCTAGAAATAAACAGACTATAACAATTAAATTAGGGGAGATGTGGTGGATTTGTGAGAATTGTTCCTGTTTAGGCTCAATGTTGAGATTTGAAAGCATTAAAAGGGTGTGGAGTGAGATCACATCCCCACAAGTCTGAAAGGTGCTCTACAAGTAAAGATCGAAAAGACAGAGGCCAAAAGTGGATTTGAGTTTTATTTTCTTGTGGTTTGAAAGTTACATAACCCAGCTTTAATAATGGTAGATGGTGTGAAGGCTCGGATACGCTGGCTTCTGCATATTGTTGTTAAATGTATCACAAAAGAAAAAAAGCCTCAAACTCTGCAATAGCATGTGTTTATTTTGTGTCCGGTTTCTGTAGTTGTTGCTGCGTCTGGTCTCACCCTCTTCGTTCACCTGCCGACAAACGTTTCAGATTAAGTGAAATCACAAATTTAAATACAGACATTAAAATAAATGACACACAAACATTGTAAAAGAGCTGGTTACCTTCTCTACCGGTCTGTTTCAGAGTTGAGGAACAGCTCGATATATCGCTCTCCTGAAAATAGAGCAAAAACATGGCACAGTTAGAGCTGGTCTCCAATTTTTTGTTGTGTCTGACTTTTCTAAACTATTATTTAAAAAAAACAGGAGAAAGCAACACGTGACCGGACATTTAATAAAATCTCACTCTCTGCTTCTCCACCTCAACAGTTGCAATTTCTATTTTATTTTTTATTTTACATATATTAGTATTTTATATATATATAATTTGTATTATTATTTAATCAGGAAAGATCCACCGAGGAGTCGTGCCCCCAAAAAGAGGGCGAGAGTGAGGTCGGGGAACATTTTATGGGGGACTATTGTACATGTTTTAGGTAGTTGGGGAAACAGGAGGACCCCTATGCAGACATGGGGAGAATATGCAAACTCCTGGAGGTAGAGTTGATTGAAATTGATTTATTTGTAATTCGGTTATTGGTATGTTTTGACTTGATGTAGCCTGATTGGTCCTTTTTATTACCCACGATCACCGCTACTTTGGGTTACACTGTGCCTCCCTTCCGTCTGCGATTGAACCTTTTGAGAACTGGAACCGGACATTTCGGACACGGCCACGTTCTCGTCACACTCACCGATGTGCATTCTGTCTCTGGACATGGCCTCCACCGCGTCCTGGTGACAGCTGAAGAAGACGTCTGCCTCTCCGCTCGGCCTCCCGTTCGGACCAAACTCCAGCTGCAGTTTGGACACGGCCAGCGGGGAGAAGAACTGAGGCCAGGAACACAATCACAACACACACATTTAGTCACGAGAAACCACTTCGGAAAATCAATACAAAAATATAAACAGGAAATATTTCTCAAATCAAAAGTAATCATTATAAAATTGGTCAGTGACCGTCAGCATTTGTCAGTGACACAGTGTGGTGTTGAACTTATTTATTTACACAGGAATCGATAAGGTTAACAATTACAACCACGAAAACCGTCAACACGACAGTCATCACCAGGAGAACTGTTGCCATAACTACCTAACAACCAATATAAGTGTATAGTGTATCATTTTGAGTTCATTTGTAGTTTAGTTTATACAGTTTTTTCAGTCAGTCTCTTCACTCAGACTACAATAGTAACCAAAGCATTAACAAATGACCAAAGGGTTTTGGCTGAAGTGAAACCCTTGAAGCCAAACCCCATCAAACTTAATTACAATTAAAGCACCAAGCATACGGCTGTTTCCACAATCCAGCAAAATGAGAAAATGTGCCATAAACATACATTTTTGTCAGCAGGTTTGTGCTCAAATCGAAACATTTAAAAACAAAACCACTGTATAAAGAGAGTTTATACATTATTAAGTTCTAGTTCTGTATATTTGCCTATTACCTACAAGTTATATAATATTTTTTGTTTAATTACATCTGATCGCAATGTTTGGTGACATATATAATTGTGATGATTTCTGACAAGTGTCTCTTATCCCTACTCTGCTCTAAAGACCTAACGACTATCAACATTTATGGCTCTGTGTTTTTTATCGTCACATTTCTTGTGTTTGAACTGTTTGATTCTCTGATCTGTGTTGGCGAATCGACCGCTTTATTCAAGTCCTCAGAGATAACTACTGTTGTGATTTAGGGCGGCACAAAAGTAAATTGGATTGAACTGAATTTATGCTTCCAGACAAAATGTTCAAAACCCGTCCGTCATTTGACTTCACCTCGACGATGTCTTCTGCGGAGGCGCTGAACGGGAGACCTCTCATGTGGACGTGGTGCGATGACACAGGAGAGCTGTGGGCTAAAACAGAACAAACCCATGACGTACAAATACTGATACAAACCAGATAAATATGTTTCTCTGGATCGTTCTCTCACCGTTCCTCACGTCGTGTCGTTGGGAGTTTGAAGCAGTGGGTGGAGTTCTCCTTTGAGCTTGAGGTGGATTCACGTTGGAGCGGTTCCTGGGGCCAGTGCGGATCTCGTCTTTTCTGCTCGGAAAAACCTCGATGTATCTGAAAGAAAGTGAGACAGGATTTCAAAACCTCATTTAAACTGACTTTTTACATTATCAATACATGATTTTTCCAACTCTGTCTCATTAAAGGTAAAACGTTTAGAACAAAGACTTGCTTTTCTTTTGCAACCACATAATTAAAGTTAATTAAACTAGAATAATAAATAGGGGGTGGGAGTTTATAAGTCTTAACTTCTTCCCACTCCTTTTCGAGCTGACATTTTGTTAATAAAACAAAACATACTGTATATGTATTGTATCTATTCTGTTTTGTTATTTGTTCTTGTCTGCCATGGCTCGAAATAAAGTATTCATTCATTCATTTAAACTTGAGAACCCTGTGAGTCGCTATTTGGCTCCTTGGACTGAGAGCTGATTGGCTGAGTGAGGGTGGTTCTCTCATTTTTCACTTTGAGCAAAAAAAACAAAAACAAAGCTGATCCAACAGATGTGACAGAGGCTAAAAACTACATGTATGTGAAAACTAGAGATAGAACCAAACAGATTTGAGAGCAAAGAAGGAGCTGCGTGGATCCATAAACTTGCCTTGGATCTTATTACATAGTTCCATTATTGTGGTCAGAAATGTAGGTACCTCAGCTTTACTTAGGGCTCAGTACATCACAGTAAGGAAAACATGTGTCAATTGCGTACGTTTCTTTTTTCTTTGAACTATACAGATAAGTTTGATTCCTGTTGGTGATTTTGACAGTTTTGTAAAGTCCTCTGAGATAAAATACTGTTGTGATTCAGGGCAATACAAAATAAATGGATTTGAATTAAAGAAAGCACTAATAAACTTGTGACTTTTACGTCTCACTTTCAGGGCTCTTTTCTACGGAATTGATTGGGTTTAAAAGTGCAGCGGTGAAGTTTCCTTTTACCGGTTTCCGATCAGTTCTCGGTTTTTACTCAGAGCTTCCTCAAAATCCTCTTGTGACGTAAACTCGATAAAAGCTTCGCCAGAGTTCCTCCCTTTGTGGTCGGCGACGATCGTGACGCCGTTCTGCACGATATCCAAACCTAGAAAACAGACGCTTAGTATTTTTATGCATGATAACTTTATAGTTTTATTTGTACATAGGAAAAGCAGTGGTTTGGTTAAAGCTGGAGAAAAGGTACAAAGTGAACAAATCAGTATAAAACATTTCATTTGTGTTCCTCTCTTTTTCACTTTTCAGTCGGAAAAATCTCTAAAAATGTGACAGAGATTGAACCAAACTGTTTTGAAAGCAAGGTATTTAGATGGATTTTAATATTTTTTGTGGTTCTAAAAGTTATATACCCAGCTTTAAGTAGTATTATCATTGTCATTATCATTATTATTTCAAGCTGCACGGTCAACATAAAATAAAAATCAATAGAAAAATATTTTTAATATAAATTATGAACTTGTAGGTCGAGTAGCGAGTGTAGTTTTATCTGCACATGAATCAGTTTGCTCCAACGGTGGAGTGCTAATCATTTTGTACACATACAAACACTTAAGACACGCCCCTTTGAGGTACCAAAAAAAGCACATGTATAATTTACTATAATCATTAAACATGTCTTTTGTACCTGAAAAGAAGTGGGCGATATCTGCCTTTGAGGAGGAGTAGGGCAGCCCTCTGATCCGGACCACACAGTCTGAAGACCCGCCCTCCGCTGTGTTCTTTATGATGGCTTCAGCGTCACTGTTGGTGACTTCATAGACTGAAGAAAAGAGGATATTAAACTCTGCATGTGGAGATGATAAAGTATCAAGTTTCATTTACCTTCAACATAACGAGGGCCCATGTACTGCCGGTGTTTCTCCAGAGCTTTGCTGAGGTCTTCTTCATGCTCCACCTCAATGAACGCTCGTCCAGACGGTCGACCCGATCGATCAGCGGTCATGTGGATCCCCTTCTCGCCATCACGGATCCTGCAGTCTGCACAGAAACAGCAGCAGTTACCATCATGGACATCATGGACCAGAGTTCCGTATTATATGTTAAACTATAGGAATTAACAATATAAAAAACACTATTAGGAGGAACTATCTACATTATTGAACAACAAAAAATTGGTTAAAAAAAAGTATTAACACAAATTTACCAATCATATCTAAAAGAGTGGTGCTAGCATGCAATATTGTTTTGATTCTATGCATACCATTGAAAAGGTGAAAATATTACCCAATTAGTCAAAAAAAATAAAAAGATAAAAAAAGAGTATTAGGAGAAAAAGTTATATGTCATATGTACCCAGCTCTGACAATAATATAATATTTTAGGAGAATAGACTTTAAAGCAGCTCTGCTTTCTCTCTCCATGGCCTCGCAGCAACATGCGACATGTTAGTGCCATATGAACCAACTCGGACTCTGAGGAGCACAGGGACTGACCTCCTGCTGGTGCCCAGGGACAGGACTAAACATGGGGAAGCAGCATTTCAGATTATGCAACTACAATTTGAAAAACAGTCTTCCTGAAAATGTGAGACAGGCTTCGACTCTGACAATGTTCAAATTCAGGTTAAAACAGTTCCGTTTAGCTGAGCACACACCTAAAGGATTGTATTATTGATGTACTGTGATTATTATCTATCTTGTATTTTTTGGTCTTTGAATTGCCTTTTATATGAACTGTTTTAAACAAATAAACTTTCCTTGCCTAATACACCATCTGTAGAGTTTTAACTAACCAGAGAAGAACTGTAGAAGGTCTTTTGGCGTGCAGGACCAGGGCAGACCTTTCACGTGAACAATGAAAACCTCTTTCTTCTGCAGATCTTCTTCAGACCGGTCATAATCGGGTAGAGGAGGGTACTCATCTTCTACTGGCGACCGTGGCTGCAAATCAGAAATAAAATCACACATAAAAAAAATAATAATCTACGCAGTGTAATATTCTTACGACATGCTTCGAACTGACCTTGGTGCAGAAGTGATGGGTGCTGCTCTTGGGGATAGTCTGCGTCGCAAATATATGTTTATTTGTGACATCTCGAGCTACACTGGAGAGTAACCTGTGCTGATATGAGCCTCGTCCACCTATCTGCGCTTTGATAACAGTGGGGAAGGCTGTCTGCGCTATTCTCACACTTCTCTGCAGTAAAGAGACCAGAAGTTTACAATGACAGCTCATATTTACAGACAAGGAGATCCGGGAGGGCTTTATACACCTTAAAAATATCCAGACACAGGTTAATGAGCAACTACTACCAGTTTTTAGGACGAATATCAGTTGTCAAAACTCACGTGGGTCTGTCAAGGGCAGTTTGGCGTTAGCATGTTAGCATGTGAGCTAAGCGGAAAAACAAAACACAGCGCCGGTAACGTCACTTTTCAAAATAAAAGCGCGTGTGTCTGGATTTTGTTTTTTATTTTTTGTTGCATTTTTTTTCCTAATATGTTTGCTTATTTTATTCTCTTTTGTGTTATTGCTGTGTTATTTGTGCGTGTTATCTGGTGTGCGATAAAATTAATGAAATATAAACGAGAATGAATTATTATTTGATATTTATTGAAATGCCAGACTTTTTCACGCGCACCCTGTTACAAAAACATCTTAATATGCTTAATACATCCATGCTTTGGCCCCACAATAATTTAAAAAACAGTCATTTAAAAATATGTGCAATTTTGATTCTGTAATAATTACAATTATCACCAAACAACAAGGTGCTAAATATCAAAATGAAAAACTTTCTTTATGATGTATTGTGCAAATAGTTCATCGTTGGGGCAGTCCTTTAGTAACAGTTTAAAACTTTATCAGTGACTTGAGTCGAACACAATCCCGTCCCTATAAAATTGGTCCATACGTGGATATAATCCATAAACTCAATTCATTTTTTTTTTTGGTGTAGTCCTACATTACAACAGCAGACACTTCTGAGGACTTTACAAAGTTGTTGATTCGCCAACAACAGATCAGAGAATCGAACACAGGAGCCATTGGTCCACATTATATCAAATGTACTTTCCTATCTTAGTGGACTTTAAGGGCTCCATACATTAACAAACCAATTTTAAATATATGCAATAAATAGTATAACAAAACACACTTTTGAACATTCGCACACACACCCTCAAAAGCAGATCTCAAAAAGCTGGAGTGTGCAATAGTGAATCGAACCTGGCAACACCGTGGCCGCATGCTCTCTCTCTCTCTCTCTCTCTCTCTCTCTCTCTCTCTCTCTCTCTCTCTCTCTCTCTCTCTCTCTCTCTCTCTCTCTCTCTCTCTCTCTCTCTCTCTCTCTCTCTCTCTCTCTCTCTCTCACTCTCTCTCTCTCTCTCTCTCTCTCTCTCTCTCTCTCTCTCTCTCCCCCCCCCCCCCCCCCCTCCTTCCCTCCTTCCCTCTCTCCCTCTCTCTCTATGTAAACCTGGCGCCCCAGTCTCCGCTTCCACATACAGTCTGTGCACCACATCCACAACAGCAGTGCGCTCGCCGTGATCCATAGCGCGGCCCAGACGGACACACTCTCTCCCCGAGAGCTTTCGGAAAGGACACTACTCGCTCTTTACCCTCCACAACCTCCTACTTCCACCGCTTGTCCTCGGCTTTGCACACGTCTGGACCTCGTAATGGCGACTGCTGCTGCTGCCGCTGCGGTGTCTGCCCCGACCGCTGCCCCCGCTGGCTGTGGATCGAGTCCCGGGCCTGGTACGGAGCTGGTGCGGGGCCAGGCCTTCGACGTGGGACCTCGCTACAGTAACCTCTCCTACATCGGGGAAGGCGCCTACGGGATGGTCTGGTGAGTTGATATTACCAGTGCTGTCTCTGTTGGCATCGCCATTTTACGCATGAAAATTACGCTTGCAGAAACATGTACAGTATACTTGTTGGCTAACCAGCGATACTTCTGCTGGTTTTGAGTTGTTTTTTATTCGTGGTTTGTTAAAAGTCACGTATTTTGATCTATCACATGTCAGACGTAGCTAGAGAAAGGAACTATTACGCATAAGTGTTGACTCCCCAAGTTTTCTTCTGTGCACGCATGCAACAAGCCTTTCCCCGGATTGCCTCACGGGTAACGGGGAGTGTAGAGCCCCCACTAGGCCTGTGTCTTTCCCTTTTTTGTCAAGATAATAATTGACAATATACTGGGCTGATAATACGTGTTTTTCTCACTTCTAACCAGAAATATAAAATACAGGTAGGTTATCAACACCAGGACTTTCTGAAACTACGCAAACTCCCAGAGCCGTCATATTGACTGCACCCATTCAAACCAATGCCAAACTGAGAAAATCCCCTCAAACCTGATTTATATAACTTGAAATACAGCAAGTTTATTGAAAGGCTAAATGCTATCTGCTGCAGGTAAACAGTGTGTTGCCATGGTAACTGGCATTTTTCTCTGGTGGAAAACTCTGAACCCGACCCAGTCTAGGACCAGAAATTTGGAGAAAATGAGCTTTAATTGCCATAGACAAAGGCAACATTTGAGTTTTACATTAACATTAATGGAGTTAAAGATAGAACTCACCTTTCAAAATAAAAGTTGATACATACACTATAGATACATATAAACTACATATAGAAGCAGAAAAGGTCACAAAGTTATGGAGACTAAAAATCTGCATACGCTGAGTAATTAGTCTTACAAAGCTCAAAGCTGTCGAATTGACTGCTATGGGATAGGGATGCACGATAATGCAAATTTCAACCGATATCGATAACCGACAATTTTATGTCTGCCGATAATTCTTTGCCTAATTAACTATAGTTTTAAATACAAGCTTTAATTTTGACCCATAAATATATCAAGAATCACTTTGTAGAGCAAAAAGTTGGAATTTATTAACTTATATTTTCTTGCTTCAAAGGCTTAAACAGAGCAATGTATTTGAGGAGAGAGCCATTTGCGCGAGCCTCGACAGACAGTTCAGAGGCAAAACGGAGATGGTATGTCTGTACTATTATTGCCGTATTTTCAGTTGATTTCTTTTTATCGGACTTATCTGTAAGTCGTCAAAATTGCCCATAATAGCCGCTAATTATCGGGCACCGACATTCTCGTGCATCCCTACTATGGGACTTCTAGTGTTAAAGATAGGCACCGCAGTTTTAACATGAGCCCAACTTTTTTCTTTCATGAATCGCACATGCTTTTTGTCCCAACTTAAATAGTTGTGAACAAATCAGACCACGGTGTATTTATTTTATACGTGACAATGAACAATAAACTTTAGTCTTAGAAAAACAAAAAGGCTAGTTTTCACTCCTAGTTCCTGGGTAATGATTTAATTACAGTAAGACAACTAACAGAGAGTCCGTCACATGTTTTCTTTTGCATGCTTGTAAGAAATAGCCCTGGGAGTCACTATTTGACACGTCGGGTTTAGTGCCTTCTCCTCTTCACGTTTACGTCTGAAAAAGCAGATGAGCCTTAAAACTACATACATATGAAAACGAGTGATCGAACCGAACTGTTTTGAGAGAGCGAGGAGCTACTGGTACACAAGATATAATTCTTCTACATATTTACATTTTTGTGGTTTGAAAGTTAGGCACCCACCGCTGTCAGACTGTACAATAAGTCAATAAGGATGACCACTAGAACTGCAAACTTGCCACTGCTATAAGTCGCTTTTCAAATTGTACATAATATACCTTTACTGCCCATAAGATACTCCTATATCTTTAACCTTTTTAACATGTTTGCACATTTCCTGTCTTTTGCACACACCGTGATCCTATTGATGTCAAATTCAGTGGAGAAAATATGTTTTGAGAAAGAAGTTTTAACTCATCAGTCATGGGTTGTCATAAACCTATAGATAATCTTTAGTCATTGGTTCATTGTTTACGTGAAGTTTTAGTTTGATTCTTACTGAGATAACAACAGTAACCTTTTTATAGGAACTGGTGGAAATAATTTTAATCATATTTTTACCGCAGCCTTGAGGGTTGACCTGTCCAGTATATAAAATAAGCATCTCAATTGATTGGTTAGTCCAGGCATGTCCAAACTAAGACCATTGATGTATCATTGTAAAGTTCAAAACCTCCGGAATCTAACTGTATTTGTATTTACTGATGCTTGTTTTTGATTGTGTCACAAAATTCAATATGTGTAGCTAATGAGGCGGTGGTGTGAATCAATATAGACATATCTCACACCCCGTTTTACAGCCTAGAAAACACCAATCCAGTCTGCTTTAGAATCTGTTTGGTGAACTAAAGTGGCCCTCTTAAAACCATTGGACGCCCCCCCTGGGTTAGTTATTTAGTTATGTTTTTACATCCGCTAAATCTAAACCTGGTCAGAACTTTTTTGGGTCTAAATAAGAGCTGAAATATACACACATTTTTGTCCCAACATAAATGGTATTGTAAAAAAAGAAAATAATTTTGTGAGCGAATCACACCACAACATGCTATTAGAAGAAGATGTCATCCTTTGCATACTTGGAAGAAAGAACCCTTAGAGTCACTATTTGATGCTTTTGGGAATGAGAGCTGATTGCTTTTCTGTCCGAAGAAGATGATCTAAATATGCTGCTGATGCCCAAAAACGCACACTTTTGAAAACTAGTGATTGAAGAAAACTGATAATTTTCCTACTGGGTTAATTCTGTTTTGTTTAGGGGCCCCCCAGCTTTTAATGTGGCTACACTATTTTTAGCTGTTCTAAATCAGGATTGACCCAAAGATGGAAAAAAATCTGGCATTCTCTAAACCTGGCAACTATTTGAACCGAAGTGTCCACATGCCGCAGAGTTTGAGAAGCATTGACATATATATTTCTAGCAGCTCCTGGTACAGCTCCGATCCTCTTGAGCCGTCTTCTCTCTCATCGGTGCCATCTCGACCCGTGTTTTTTGGCGCTGACGTTGCTCTTGCTCCATTCTCCCGTCTTCAAAATGCCACTGTGGCGGGCGTACCCATGGCAACCCCTCTTGTTTCTGACATCAGCAGCACCAGCGCCGCAGCCAATGGGAGCGGGCGGGCGCAGAATGAGAGCCTTGACAATCCGATATCCCGTTGTGCAATTTCAAGAGGCGATGTAATTTGTGTGATTATATCAAAGAGCGGGCGCAATGACTCCGGGGTTGGGGAAGCAAGCGAGCAAAAAAAAAAGCACGCTTCTCGACTTGATTCATCTGCGGAAGCGTCTGCATCAGGGCGTAATACAAGGATCAAATGATGTAGATCCTAAATGGGATATTATACGAAGTCAACTCGAATAGTCTTATAATTGTTCCCTTTTCCCATTCATCCACTCGGTTGCTTTTAGAGTGAGTCATGCATTTTAGTCATCTTTAATCTCCTTTAATCTAAGACTCCATCACTTTCCTGTTTTCTCTGCTGCCGGTGCTTGTAAAGGCCTGTCACAAAAACGCATGGACGATATATTCTGTGGAATGCAAAAGTTTGGGTTGATCTGCAAAGAAGAATGGTCCAAAATACCTCCTACCAGAATCCAGACTCTAATTCAAAGTTATCAGAAGCGTTTAGAGGCGGTTTAGAAGAGGTTTCTGCAAAAGGAGGATACAAAATATTGAGGAAATTTTTATTTTGCTTGATTTGGTTTCAATAATTCTTGCACATTTTCTGCAAGTGATACAAACTTTATTTCAGGTCGGCTGATCAAGATTTTTCAGGGCCGAATATAATTAGTAGTCAAGGCTGATAGATGGATAAAGCTGTTAATAATAGATAAAATGTTGACACCAGCTGGTTGTGGGTTCAATTTCTCTGCCCCCCCCCCCCCCCCCCCCCTCACGACATCTACTCCATCTACTATGTCTGAAGCCCAAACTGAAAGACCAAGACCATGGATCCTTCTATGGACCCACCACCTGCAGTAGGATCAGTGAGGGGCTGGTGCTATGAAGGTCGGGTTGACAGCTGTGATTACCACCTCCCCAACCTAGAAATCTACTAATAAATAGGATGGAAATGAATGAATGAATACTTTATTTCGAGCCATTGCCAAGAAGAAAGAACAACAACAAAACAGCAGAATATACAGTATGTTGTGTTTTTATTAACAAAAATCCAGCTCAAAAAGGAGTGGGAAGAAGTTAATCCATTTTTGCACAAATCGACTGTATACATTTGAAGTAAATAAGTAATCTTTATCTAATATAACGCTTTTCACAGACCGAAGTCACAAAGCACTTTACAATTGTGGGCATTTGTCTCTCACGCCGCACAGAGATCGGAGCGGGGTCGCCAGTACAGGAACAGTATTATGACTTCAAACTGTTCACTGGACATACTGAGTTTTATTTGTACAGATTGTGTGTGTCTGTTTGTTCTCTCTCTGTGTTTAAAAACGCCATGTTTGGAGTTTCACTTTGTTCTGAGGAAGTTTACAGAAACAAGCTGTCGAAGGCAAGATTCAAAATCTGCACATGGAGTGAAAAAGTAAAAACAACTTTCTTGCGGACAAACTCGACTTTCCTTTTATTCTTGCATGTCTTGAAGTACACCCTGTATTTTTTTCATGTTCAAGGCTTCAATATAAAAAGTGTGTGTGTGTAATATTAATTCGACGTTTCACTTAAAGATGTTATACCCGATTATTTTCTAATGAGTTCATAAAAGTGCGTATTACTACATACAAGTTGTATGAAAATCCGTAGTTTAATTGAAAACTTGCGCTCATAGATTCAGCTGTGTATGAATTAAGGCCGTAAAAAGTGCTGAGTAGAGACTTGGCATGACGCTCGTTCTCCTCCAATCACAGAACAAGGAGCGGCGCTGTTACGAGCAGGCGGCGTCCGCTAGCCTCTACAGCGC